CCCTCCAATGCCAGCTCCCCTCTTCACTTCCAAACACAACCCACCCCCTGAGGAACCTCAGCACCAACCCTGCCTTTGCTTGCTCCTATTATGACAAATGACACACACTGAATGGAGACAGCTGATGTGCAGCTTTAGAATCTGCACTCAGTGAACCTTCACTGCCGGCCCAAGTGGCCAGGTCCTGCTCAGTGTCCTGGGTGGGGGAGAAGGCATGGGGGTGATCTCACCTGAGCACCCACGGCAGCAGAGGTCAGAGGTCAGTCTGGTCAGGACACTCTGCCCCATCTGCCCTCTCACAGCCTGGGGCCAGTGTCTTCTATGTCAAAGACAACCTAACATCCAGTGAAAATAAATCTCAAGTACATTCCTAGTAAGACCCCGGAAGCATGGTAGGGGGGTACAACGGCACCAATACTGGTATCCAATATGCTCAGAAGAATTTGTGCTTTTGCTTTTTTACCTTTTGGTTGCACGGGTGGAAGTGGAAGAGCTGCAGAGCCTGCATCTTGCTCAGAAATATTTTCATCTTCTTCACGGTTCACTTTGTTTGACAATGGCATCTTCTGGTTAAAAAGACAAAGGAACAAACATGGGATATGGGTTACTTGCATAATATGTCCCCTAACCAAGTGCAATGTCTTATTTCATACTGAAGCACCTCTGCTGCCCTCCTTCATGGGCTACCCCTGGGGCCTAGTGACACCTCTGAGCCCTTGGAAAAGCCTGGGGGGAGGGGAGGCAAGAATCCATGTGATACATAGCTGTGGGCGTGGATGTCCCACCCAGGCACAGGGACAGTGTCCTTCCACACCCCTGCCAGACAGCAGCCAGGCATGGGCCACCTTGGACCATTGCTCAGCACCCCATGCCATCCTGCCCCACACCGACAGATAGTCATTTCCTCATGGACAGGACTGCAAAGCTGCCTGGAGAACTGTTGCCCATGTCACCCAGCCAACAGGTCAGGACCAAGCTCATGATGGTTGCTGGCCTGACTCCACTGTTGGAATAGAACCCTCCCTTC